CACAATAGGACTTTGAATTGGGTCTCTCACGATAGGACTTCGAGTTAGCTCTTTCACAAAGGGACTTCGAATTGGTTCTCTTCCAGGACTCAGAGTAAGTTCTTTTCTGGGAGGACTCGGAGTTGATTCTTTCCTGTGGGGACTCTGACTTGGCACTTTCTTGAGGGGACTCTGAGTTACCTTTCTCCCAGTAGAATTCAGGATTGGATTCTCCCGGGGTGGACCCTGAGTTCGCCCTTTCGTGGAGGGGTTCTCAGCTGACTCTTTACTGGAAGGGCTCTGCATTGACCATTTGCCGAACAAAATGTCAAACCCCTAAGCAACACAGAACAAGTAATGATATCTCTAAATAGAACAGCCTAGTATTTAACAGCAGCCAACTAAAGCATGGGAAACTATATAAAGCTGTTTTCAAATTTGAGTAAATATTAGCCCAACACCCAGCCTACTGTGTATAGAATGAGCATGGAATGCAAAGCCGAACAAATCTGTGTGGTATAAAACATAGGCCCCGTGTCCATGTCCCTTTAAAATTTAGCAAATATACAGACCTGAAGGTATTGTTCAGTCGTGCTGCTGCAGACATATGGTTTAGAATGCAGTGGTTCTGCTCCACCTGGAATGCTTTTATCTGGGCAGTTTAGAATGACTGCACCTCTTGAAGGTGATTGGAAGTTCTTTTCAGATTCAATTTGCAGATGGGGAGGATTATCTTCTCGCTCACCTGCCAATATGGGAGCAGTTCCAGCAGAAACCAATAATCCTTCAGTGGGAATTTCTAACATCAAGAGGTGCTGTGTCATTTTGCTTCCTGATATTGACAGCTGAGAGGGTGAAGCCACTGCTTTTCTTGGTGTGCCAAATGTATCCTTCAAAGGAGTGTCTGTAACCATGCTATGCTGAGGCTCTTCATCTTTATCAAGGTCTGTGGTCTCGTTAACCTGGCTCAACATACTGATGTTTATTGGGTTCTCATTCCCATTGCTATTCGTGTTACATAAGCTTTTCTGTCCACTGTTGAGATCAGGCATAGCTGTTTGCTTCTCTAAACAAGCAGTAGGAGAATTAGAAAATTTGCATTGGAGATCTTTGCTAATGTCAGCCATAACATTCTTTATGGGAGAATTCACAGATGAGTAACTTGATAATCTACATTTTAATTTTTCAATTCCATCTTTGAGACTAGAAGCACAAGGAGAAGGCTCAGGAAGTGTGAATCTAGAAATACTTTTCTGAATTGATGAAACCCACTCATTATGTTTTGTGTGTTCCGCACTTAAAAAGGAACCTGGTTGTTTCGAGGATGGAGTCACTATCCTTGAGTGTCTTGCCAAATTAGGAGTATTCCAAACCGATTGCTGATGTCTAGCAGATAACAATAATGTGGACCCCTCCATCGGTGATCTATATTGTTGGTCCAAATGTTGATCTCTATTATATGTTTTCTCCTTAAGAGAATATTCTTGAACCATGCCTTGACTTGAATGTTGATAAACAGGTTCATGCTGGACAAACACATTAAACTGAAGTGCTTCACTATTGAATTCTGGTAGGACTTTGCCATTAACAGCAGTTAACTCCAATTTTTTCATATCCCTTGGAGATCCAACTTCAGTAAATTCCTTATTCACCTGCAAACAAACCTGTGCATCAGTTCACCGATACAAAAACTCACATTTATCTAATTTTTTAACACTTCCCGTTTTCTTCACTGGTAATGTAAACATATAATATAATAGAATGAATAGTTAACTAGAATGCAAGCACTAATAATGCATCAATTATGCAAGCTAAAGTCGACAGGAATAGGACCAGTCCTGAATTGTCAAGCATGATAACTCTAAGATGATGCTATTAATAAGATAACAACAGATATTTAGTTTCTTTTTGGTGTAGATCGAATGGAATAATGGTAAAATGTGTATTTCAGTATAGAACAAGTTGATTATGGACATGCAACTACAATAATAACATGATGAAAATTAAAATTAAAAATGTACTTTAATATGATAAATCATCATCCATCAGAGCAACTAGACTACTAGACAAAATCTTTGGCAACTGAGGCCATTTACTCCAGCTGAAAACTAAAGTATCAGCTTCTGTTGTCCAATCCAAATATCCAACTTCCAAATTTTTCTACTGAAACCCTTCATGTTTGAACAGCCAAATTTCATCAACCTCAAACAACTTAATCTCACATAAAAAGCTACTACATTACCTTCATTCTCACATACTATTTTTTTTTTTTTTTTTTTTTTGGTAAACAGGGGGTTTCTCACACATTATTTTGTTACAAAACCCAACCATAGAAAAGTCCAGTATTTATTTCCCACGCCCACAAAACAGTCGCAATCCATTTTATCAAACAACAAAAGCTATAAGATGGCTACACTCCAAATTTCCAAATCAGCTACTGACACTCTGTTTGAACCATTATTAAAACTCGTTTTCGAAGTACATAAAATCATACGCACTGGCAGAACCTTTTTGGTTCAAGTGCATGAAATTTCACCCTTCTAACAACACCACAACCACAATCCTCACAACAACAACAAAGAGTCTAAGACATGCATCATCAAATCTACTAATTTAAAATACCAAATGGATGAGATCAAACCAAACTGCTAATGGGTTTATCAAATCCTGATTGCATAAGACATCCTTACATTGTTTAATTGATTCGGAGTCTGGATTTGGCCATCAATGAAGTCACCAGCAGCTGGATTACGACCTCTGTTAGATGAGGCATCATAAGCAGTTTGATGAAAAGAACCACCATTTGCCTCACTCAACTTGATACGAGAAACTGATTCTGCCTCATTAGGCATGTCATTAGTGCCAAAATTGCCCATTTCAGTAGTTCTACCATTTCTCATGTGGCCAATCTCATTTTCATCTGATGCAGATACCTCATCCCCCTTTGGTGACATTGAACTGGCAGGGACGGCAACAGAGTCAGCATGCAGATCCTTGCTGCCTGCTGCCAAAAGTGCATCTAATGAGGGAGATAGTCTTCCATATTCGTACTTATGTGGGTTTTCTTCTATAATACTCATGTCATTCGAATCTTCGCCACTTCTAACCTTATCAGCAGGGACCGAAGACTGAGGAGTAAGCATCTTCGGTTTTGTTAGAGACATGAGACTTCCAGAATCAGTAACATTGGTATTATGGATTGGCATCCTCTCTTCAAAGGCAAGGCGCACTGCTGTTGGGGTCTTGAGATCTCCTCCGGAGTCTGACCTTGCAAGACTGCGGTAATGCATTGAAAATGCTGTAGTATCCAATGTAGCTTCATGAATGTCATCTGAGGCCGCGGAATCAGATAATCGTCCTGGTCTAATGAAATTGGCCGATACAGGGCCAAAGAAATTGTCTTCTGCAAAAATAAATCATAAAAAACACTATAATTTTCGACCAAGACACTTGAATTTTTTACTCAGTGGAATTACTACCTAGACAAACAAGAATCTATGTAGTTAAAAATTCAATTATCTGCAGCCTCTCCGAGTAATTTAAAGTCGATTATAACGTAAGCTGGTAATATAAAGCATCAATTACATAAGCCATTAAGTACTAACATCCTCTAAAGAATCTTCCTTTACTTTCCTAATTGTGTATTAATTACTAATTAATAAAAAAATAAGATAAAATTTATAGCTTACCGTCGTTGGAGGTAGCAGAGCCCGGAACGCTACTCCCAGGAGAGGGCGATCCATTTGGCCTGAAAAACGACTTCCTCCCGTCGTCGTTTTGGTCATCGTCATCGGAATCCCTAAAATCGTCGCTGTCACCGCCCAAGTCCCTAAAAAACCCTATCACCGGGTTCTCGGCCTGTGCGACGTCGTTTTGAGAGCTGGGTCGGGGCTTGGGGTCGGGAGGTGTGTCGTACTCCTCGTCGCGGTTGAATATGTGGACGGAGGTGATCTCGGTGTCGGCGAAGCTCACGCGGCGGGAGCGCTTCTGCTTGATTCTTAGGGCTATTGTTTCCGGTTCGGTCTCGGAGTTGCAGGGCTCATCGGGGCCGTTGGAGGACATCGGAAGTGGAAGAATCGGAGAAGGGAATTGGGGAGATTAGGGTTTGCAGTTTGAATTAGGACGGAGCAGTGCGCTGTGTGTCAGTCATTGTGGGACTGCGCAGCGGGACAGAGAGTGTGTGTGTGTGTGTGTGTGGAGGGAAATTATTTTGATGGTTTAAAAATGTCTCATCATTTACGACTAGTCGTTTCGTTTGATTCGTTCCTGTCTGAATTTAAATTTTAGTTTAGGTGTTGATTTAGGGCACTCATTCGTGATGCTAACAATTTGTATCAAAGTATGGTTATCATCTCTAAGTTATTAACAATTAATATTACAATGCCTATTTCATTCTCTAAACTCCACTATAGATGTCATTATTACTATGTTTTAATGGTATTTTTAGTAAGTTTTTTTCCAGGTTATGTCATACCAATTTAAGAAGGAAAAAAAAAATGTTCGAGCTACTTAGTTACTTTTTGCAGTGAAGCCACACACTGAGAGAAGGCGATCGTCTCCTCTCTCCTACTCGATCTTCGGTTGGGTCAGATGCTTTTTCGGTTAAGGTTCAATACATCCGCCAATCATAGGATTCTGAGCTCAATTTTCTCTCTCCACCTTTAAGTTATTGTATATAGAGTCGGCCAAGGACATTAATCCTCAAACATAATCAATTAGGACACTTTAGGATCCAATATTCCATAATCATTATTTTAATTAGTTAATACGGTTTAAAAATAGGTCCACTTCCATGAACATAAGAGATAAGAGTCGTGACCACCTTTTTCCTTGTTAATTTCTTTCTCAAATAGTTATGATGAAGTGATATATGCGCATGCCCTTGCGTCATCGTTACATCCTCCTTATTCCCTATCGCAAGTATATAAATAGGTCTCGTTTTACTATATATCAACAAACCCACAACTACTTGTCGATCTCGTTCGATCTCTTACATATATATATATATATATATATAAATATATATATGCAAGCAACATGAGCTCAGAAAATGCAAATAAGGGGGAGGATTGCCTGGGATGGGCTGCAAGAGATGAGTCTGGGGTTCTTTCCCCTTACAAATTTGCCCGCCGGTACGCTCGATTTTGATTAATTAATTAATAATTTGCATGCTAAACGTACTGCTTAATTAACAATGAGTTTGTTAATGAATCTGCAGGGCTGTTGGGAGTGACGATGTTTCCATAAAGATCACACACTGTGGAGTTTGCTATGCTGAAGTGGTTTGGACAAGGAACAAACATGGAGATGCCACCTATCCTTTAGTGCCTGGGTACGTATATATGTGCATCCATTAACTCATGATTTTATTTTTATCATATGATTAATTCTTAGTTAACTACTGCTTAATGTACAAATTACAGACATGAGATCGCCGGCATTGTGCAAGAGGTCGGTTCAAATGTTTGCGGATTCAAAGTTGGTGATCATGTTGGAGTGGGAACTTATATTAATTCATGCAGAAATTGTGATTACTGTAATGACGGCCTTGAAGTTTACTGTGAAAAAGAAGTTGTTTACACTTACAACCGTCTTGACGTCAATGGTACCATGACGAAAGGTGGATTTTCCACTTACATTGTTGTCCGCGAAAGGTTGGTGTCGTTTGTGTCCTCTCATCAGAAATCTTTTAGTTTGATAACAGTTGCATTGCCATGTAGCGTTACTAATCAACGTGTTAAAATAAGCATTAACGGGGTTGTTGATATTTCATGTTATGTCAGCATCATATAACCTAATTGCCTAATGCTCAAGGAATTATAAGGCAAGTTTTTCAATTCCCTGAGAAATCAATGACATTGTTGGTTATGTATTTGAATTTATACAGGTACTGCTTCAGGATAGCAGAATCCTATCCATTGGCTTCAGCAGCACCTCTTCTTTGCGCCGGCATTACTGTCTATTCTCCAATGATACGCCATAAGATGAACCAACCCGGTAAATCACTAGGCGTGATTGGCCTCGGCGGTCTTGGTCACTTAGCCGTGAAATTTGGTAAGGCTTTCGGACTGAATGTAACAGTTTTCAGCACAAGCACATCAAAGAAAGAGGAGTCTCTAACTCTGCTTGGTGCAGACAATTTCGTGGTCTCATCCGACCAAGAACAGATGAAGGTAGAAATGCACAAGCCTTCCAAAATTGGGCATTATTTGCACTATGTTATGAGTTGTTATATATTTGTATGTAATGATTGTATTAACCTTCATTTTATGCAGGCCATGGCTAAATCCCTCGACTTCATCATCGATACGGTATCTGCTGATCACTCATTTGATATGTACATGTCGCTTCTGAAGACTGCCGGCGTTCTTGTCATGGTTGGGGCACCAAATGAAGTTAAACTGAGTCCTATGAGCCTAATTCTGGGTACTGCAACATTTTCATTGCTCAAAGTTTTGGTGCTTTTAAAATTTAGAAAATTAGTGATTTTACGCTACATTAAACAATGCGGTGGTTTACTGATTAGCTGAACAAGATGCTTTGATCTTTAAATTTTTTTTTTTTTCACAGGTATGAAATCGATATCTGGTAGCGTGGCGGGTGGTACGAAAGAGATGCAAGAAATGCTAAACTTCTGTGCTGCTCAGAAAATATATCCCAACATAGAAATAGTTCCGATTCAGTATGTGAATGAAGCAATTGAGAGGCTTATAAAGAAGGATGTGAAGTACCGGTTTGTGGTGGATATTGAGAACTCCCTGAAATATTGAACAAGGAAAACTCAGATTTCTACCAAAGCATCGATGAGAAGGCATATATATATGCAAAAGATTTGCAGAGATTTTATCTAATAGGGTTGTGTTTTTTTTTTTTGTTGGGTGTGGTTGTCTTACTTTTAATGGAAGTGTTTGAATTCATCTCCTGCCTTGTGTGTTAGGGCTAGTTCGGTAGTTTGGTGCTTTTAAAAAATTGTTTCTGTTGTGATATTAGAATAAAAGGGTTTTTGAACTTTAATCCTTCAAGAAGATTAAAATTTAATAAAAATCTAATATTAGATTGAATATTGATTTTAATCCCTTAATGTGTACTTAATTCAAATTCATATTATATTTTTGTTTTTGTATTTAATAGATAACTTATTTAATGTTATTACATTAAATTTATTATTATATACATTTTAATTCATTAAATTTATTTAACTTTCTCTAATTAGTGTACCTAAATGTCCGTATCATAATATATCTTACTAAATTAGTGTACTGAAATGCCTGTACCTAAATTTATTGTAGTGAATTAGTGATACATAAGAAAATACTTAAAAACATAAGTGTACTGAAAATTCCGTACCTAACTATATGATGTTAAACTAGTGTAGCGAAATGTCAGTATCTAAATATATCATACTAAACTAGTGTACCGAAATGTCCGTACCTAAACATATTATACTAACCCAGTGTATCGAAATGTTCGTATCTAAATATATTACAATGAATTAGTGGCAGATAAGAAAATATGAAAAAACAAAAATGTACCGAAAAATCTCTACGAAAATATTTTCTTATATAAGATGCTTACCATAATGAGAATTAAAATTTATAATATTTTCATAAAATTTAAATTCATAAAATTATAAATAAATAAAAAAGACATTGAATACATATGCTGACATTAAATAGAGTCTAGGGACTAAAATCAATTTTTAATCTTGTATAAGACATTTTTCTAAACTTCATCTTATTTAGGGATTAAAAACTATTTTTTTTATAAAATAAACCATTTTAAAATTAAATAATTAAGTGTTTGATAAAATGTACTTGTAAAGGTACTTGTAACAAAAAAAGTAGCGCAAGAATGTTTGATAAACTTTTATGTAAAAGTGTTGTGATTGTGTAAAATGACCATGAACGCAAGTACCCAGATTGCAATTCATTCAATTCGTCCATTGATTTATTGAGTCTTAACTCAAGTAAAAAATTTACATGCAATTGAGATGTTACGATGACATTATATTAGGCCAATCACATGCCTCTAGGTATTTTTAATTTCCCCAGTTGATATCACATAGTTTTTTAGATAACATCACACTTACATCTTAGTTACATGTTCTTCTCTGAAATTTAAGGCACATGCAATCAAAGAGGCAACAAGAAAAGAAAGAAATCTTGTGTAATCCAAGAGGCAAACAAGAAAGAAACAAATCTTGTCTGTGATATGCAGTTACTGACAATTTTTTAGGAAAAAAATAATATTAGATAAGCTCATTTTATACATTATTATTCACAAAGTCAGAACCAACTCTTAAAATATATATTTTTTGTTCTTACTAAAATTAGAGTAAATTATATTTTGCCCATTTAGATTTGGATGCAATTGCAACTTCATACATTATTTTTAAAACATTAAAATTTATCACATACAAACTTTAATTTTATTATAACTTCATATATTCAAACTGTCAATTTAACCGTTAAGTGATGACATGCCACTACATTTTTGCTAACGTGGATGTCACTAACATGCCACATAAGAAAAAAATTATTAAAAATAATAAATAACTTTTTATGCTAATATTTTTTAAAACATATGTAATGGGCCCCACCACCATTACTATTCATCTTCAACCTCCTTCCCCTCACCGCAACCAAACGCCCCACCCACCCAAAAAACCCGCAACCCAAAAACACCCCCCTCAACCAACCCCTCCCCTGCAACCTAAACCCCAGAACCCCACCTCCCCTGCAACCCCCCAACCCAAAACCCCAAAAAACCAAGATTATTTGTGATCAACCAAAAAACCTAGATTTGTATCAACCAAAAAATATATGTATGTGTGTGTGTGTGTGTGTTCTAAAATAGATTACCCAAAAAAAAATAGAGGAAAGGTCGGAACCTATTGCCCTATATGCCGCCCTCCCACTTATTTCCAGCGACCTCCTCCATCTCTTTCTCTCATTCTAACCTCAAATTGGCGTCGATCGAACCACTGAGATGCAGCCAGCAACGAAATCAAAAGGGGATTTTGGTATTTGACAATCTAAGGAGTGATGATGTGGAAGAATAACTGTGGGTCAGTGTTGTGGTAAAAGAATAGCGGTGGTGCAGTTTGGAGGATGTATGACTCCATTGGTCGCTATGGCAGAGATGCCGAGAGAGACGAAGGGTTTTGGGTTTTGGGTTTTGGATTCTGGATTGGATCTAAGGTTGCTGGAGTTGGGGATTGTGAACGGTGTCTTGTCGGATCTAGATTGTGAGGGAAGGGATTTCTAAGATGAGTTTCGAGATGGGTTTGTGAATGTTCAAGATAGGTTTTGAAATGGGTTTCGACTATGCATATGATGTTCTGGGTACTGATATGAAGGTGGCAATGGCGGGACGAGGGATGAAGGACTTCGAGACGTTGGACGGGAGATAGAAAAGAATGTTATTTTATTTTTATATTTTCCAAAATTTCAATTATACGAAAAACTGTTTTTTATTAATTAATATTTATTTCTTTTTTATTCACATGGTGCAAAATTGGTTGCCATCCTCATATTTGCCACATCATCACCTAACCATTAACTTAACAAATTTTCTAATGATGGTATGAAATTGAAATGAAATAAAAGTAAATATATGTGATTGAAATGTTTTTAAAATGTTGGATGAGGTTGTAATTGACCTTAAACTTAAGGGTGAAAATGTAATTTACCTCTAAAATTATGTTAACAAAAAACTGTTAGACTTCGTTACCTAACTTGTGATTATGGCCAAAGAGGTCTAGTTTAGGCTAGAAGGTCATGGTCTCATATTTACAAACAAGTCAATTGACTAATTTGAATACCAATCAATTGGTCATATTAATGTGATAAATTATTGGGTTACACTTGTGTTAACACGTGATCTTTTTAGGTGCACATAATGGTACAAATCAGAAAAGAAGTCACGAAAAACTCAAGCGAGATCGAGAAGTTCAAGAAAGATCAAGAAGCTCAAGGTTCAAGGGGCTTAGAAGAGAATACTACCTAGCACTAAAGCCAACTGCCTTTGAGCTTAACTGGACCAGAACATGTAAAAAAGCTTTTTGACCGCTAGGAGCACATCGACAATTTTATGCCACAAGTTACCAGGAATAGGCGCTAGACGTCAATCAGGCCACGTGACGGCTCAGAAACCTAAAATGGGACGTAAAGGTGCTTAGAACAAAGCTCGAAGGGACGACGTTGGACTAAAGGCCGAGCTAGATGCTTGGCCCATATCACCCTAAAAAGACGCGTCATCTCGATTGAACACATGACACTTCCACTCTCAAATGTCTGATTGATAAGTGAAAAGATGTAAGTGCTAGTCTACGTAGGTGGTGCATTAAATGCAAAGTTAGGAAGGCTCAAGGTTGTTTTAGGGCAGGGGATGATCATTGAGAGCCTAAATAAAATGGTGGGAACCTCCTGTAAAAGCGTCGACTGAAGGGAGAGATAGTTTGTGTATTAGAAAACGTTATTTTTAGACTTGAAATGAATATAATTCGAGCCAGTGACGAAGCTACGTAGGAGCAAGGAGGGGCGGCCGCCCCTCTGTTCATTGGAAATCGCCATTAAGAGTGAAGATTATGCCCCTTCGATCTTCTAAACCCGCTGGCATTTGGGGTTGGTGCATTGCATTGCTGGGTTTTAATATTTTCAAGGGAAGAAGACGACTTCAAACCAGACGACATCGTTTACTTTGTTTTGTGCTATTAGTTATAACTTTTTTCCATTAAATGAAACGGTGTGGTTTGGTGGTTGGCTCCTTTAGTTTCTTCTTTATTTTTTTATTTTACCAATGTGGGCTTATTTTCCAATCGCACTATGGTTTAGTTGATTAAATATGATTTCCCAAAGAAACCAACCCACCATTTCAATTCTCTTTCCCTTCTCTCATTTGTTTAGAATAAAGAAATAGGTGTGATATCCACACATCTTTTTTTACTTCTCACACACCCTTCTAATTTTTATCCGTGCTAGGAACACAAACCATGCAGTGTCATCCCTCAGTATTATAGTAAGGGTGAATGATATGACTTGTATGTCCTATAAAAAAAAAATTAATGTTATGGAGTAAAAAATAATCCCAAAAAGAGAGGAAGTGACACTTGAATTTTTGGATAAGAATGACGAGATTACCCTAGAGGCACACCAGAATTCTCACGCGCATGCAACAGACAATAACGACTCAATCAAGGAAGAGTCAAATGTGATCAATATGGAATTTATTTCATATTCCTCTCATCACTCCTCCTTAATCCCTTATTGATTTTATTCAAAAGGTAACTCCCAAAGCTTCCTATTTAAATTAGGAATAATTGCCATGTTAATTGCAAGATATTATTCCACATAATACCTTGCAATTAGTCACCCAATTACACCATATATGGTTGGCCACTCTCCTATAAATGCTCCTCTTATCCAGCTAAAATGCTAAGCCATTTGCTACCCGAAAACTCTTAAACGCATTCTTTTCAGAATTCTAACTTTGGCATCTGAGATTCTTCAGTTAAAGGCCCCCCCCAATTCATCATGGGTGCATAAGGCTTTTTTCCTTAATCAAAGGTGTTATTATTTTGTAAGTGCATTTTCATCAAAGGAAGAGATGACGGAAATTTGCAACCATAAATTAGTGTTTTCATTGAGAGTTTGATTCACACATTCGAAGAAGACTTTCGCATTCAAAGTTTCTCATTTCTCGTTTATACGTAAATTTTTCATACGTTCTTATTCCTAGAATTTTTTTATGCTTTGAATAGACATAGGAAAAAAAATACAATGGTAGGAAATTCGGAAACCACGACGAACATAACTTCTTACTTTCAAAGATCCAGATCAAATGATGGAGTTTGTGACATAGCCCTACCACAACGATCAATGAGGCTCAACACGATGGCAAGATGAGTAACTTTGCCACCACGAAGCACCATCACCATGGCGGCCACATGAACCACTGTGGCAATGGGGAGTGGGCCAGCTCCATGGCAACAAACCATGGTCATATGATTTGCCACCACAACAACCTAAACCCAGGACCAAGCCCAGGCCCAAGTGTTGGC